TTCATGTTGGCTGGGGAATTCTGGGAGTTGAAGTCCACACGTCTTCCACTTCCCAAGGTTGAGAAACACTGCTATAAACCTGTCAAGAGAAGAGTCAAGTCTTCAGGCAAGGCATATTTGACTGATGAAACTCCCTGCCACAAGTAATCCACAGAGGACAAAGCTCTATCTGCCACAGCCCACAAAATAAGCCACTTGCTTTAGCTGCAGTCTACCTGCGGTTAGAAAGTGCTCAGAGGCAAAGACTTGAGGCTGGCATTGGGGGGAAAAATTGCTTTCGGGGCCAGCTTGCCCACCATTCGAAGCAGGATGAGCCACAGCCGAGCTTTGTTCTGACCTGGCACATCTGCTATCCTTCAGAGCTCCTGAGCAGGTGCAGAGTTCATTTTTCTCACTGTTGAGTAAACAAGGGGAAGCTCCCTCCATGTCTCTCTTCTATGAGTCCAAACCTAACCCTGATATTAGAAAAATGTTCTGCCCTTGTCCCGGCTCCAATTCCCTCCCCCCAGCTCCCCCTCCCCACATTCTTAACATGGATAAGATTCTGAGCTTCAGGACTGTGCGAACCCTGCTTACTTGCTCGAATGGTTTTTTTCAGACTCCCCCCTTCAAAAAAATCTTTGCCTGAAAAAAACCAAGGATTGTGATCCATTTCAGAGAGATGTTCTGATTAACTTTGAATAATGTCTTTATCACGCCTTTTTTAATTGTCCGTTCGGTCAGTTCAAGGTGGCAAAAGTCCCTAATGCTCCTGCCTCTTCCTATTTTCCCCACAACAACCCTGCGAGGTGGGTTGGGTCTGCTCTTGCACGTGGGAGGGGGTAACGTGTGGTGCAAACTCATCTCAGCTTGATTATGGTTCTGTGTCTTGTCCAAATCCAGAAAAGGGGATAACCAAATGAAGGGTATTCACACAGACTGCTAAGCTGTGGTTTGTATAACCGTCATTTATTGATTCCATACTAGGTTTGCTCAAAGCCTTGAGCCATAAGCTACGGTATGGTTTATAAGGCCCAGTGGTCACAATAAACCAAGTTAGCAGCAAAGAAATGAGATAATAGGGTTTAAGAGCTTGTGCGAAGTTGGTGTGTCTGGACCACCAGACGTGGATTGAAACAGGCCTAAAATGGCAGAGGAGAGGAGACGGCAGACCCCAAATGCTGGCTAGCATCTGGACAGCCACAGATCTGCACTTCTTAAGGCAAAGTCTGCAACTGACAAGCAGAAGGCATCCTTATACCTATTTTACAGGTGAGGAAGACTGAGAGCATTCAGCACCCAGCCCAGGCAGAGCAGATAGGGCTCTTCAGTGGCCCTTGCTCCGCTGAGCTACAAAGCTAGACATTTACCAGGGATACAGGCTGGCTTCAGGCAGCCGCCGGTTCACACAACAGCTGGGTTAGTTTCAGCCTTTCAGTGAGGCCGAGTGTGCAGACAGCCCCAAACCCCAGCAAACGTGACCACCTGCAGTGTGGTTGGGAGGGAAGATCAGAGCCTCTTGTCGGCCTAACGCAGATTTCCCCAATTTCGTACCCTCCAGATGTGTTGGAGACCGGAGACTGGAAAGCTGAAGCGCTTTGGCGGAGAAATCGCGCGTGCGGCGTTTTTCCAGGCACGGGAACAGGGCTTGGATTTATTTTTTTTTTAAAGTTGGCAAGCTATGAAATGCCGCATGGTTCTTCTTCTTACTATTATTGTCCTCCTGAATCATTTATTCTAGCGAGATCCCCTCCCCCACCACTTTCCCCGAACAGAGAATTATTCCAAAGATTTAGGGGATCCTGTCGGCAAAAAGGGATTATTTGAGCGTCGGGAGAACCGCAGAGCAGGTGATCCCGCGCCC